GCTGCCAACATGAGCGATGAGCTGAAAAACTAATGACCAAATGCACTATGAGCTGTCCCTCCTGCTATGAATACAGCTCAGCCAATGCAGGGTTACCGCAAGGTGATGTCCCAAAGCGTCATTCATGTAATATTAGAGAAGAGATGCCTGCCTTCCCAGATACATTCAACATATCAGTATCTTCTACTATTTATGACATGGCAAGGATAGCTAGAGCACCCAGTATGAAACATGATAAATGAGATGTAAAATATGGGATGGTGAACAATATCAAATATTAGAATAGAGCGGGCTGCAGTGCCACACTGACAATTCCTTGTATGAGCTGAAGAACAGATGATCATTTGAATGTGTGTCATTTGGATACACTTGTCCAGTCACGCTCCCCAGACAGAGATAAGACACAGCTTCTCTTTTTGCTCTCAATAGCAAAATGCATCTGAGAAACAGGTGGTTTCTCACAGACTCCATTCAATACATTTCGTGGTAAAATCTTCTAGCAGAAGACACCACTTTACACAAGGTAAAAGTGAGCCACAATTGAGGTTATTCAGCTTGTAAGTTGTAGTGTGTAAAGCACCTGTTTTGCAGTTCCTCCACCTCGTCTTCATCGTCCTGGCTGATGGCCTCTGAGGCCTCGTACTGAAACTCCTGCAGCTCTGTCATCTCAGAGTCCAGACTCTCACACTCCTCCATCTTGGTAGAATCCTCCAGCTCTTGCCTTTGCAGTTCCCCAATGTTGTTTTTCTATGTATTTTAGAGTCCTCTTGATGTTTTCAGCCACTCTGATTTCAGAAGAGCTGGTCTGCCTGTTTGTGTCATTCTAAGTTGGGAGCTGTCCATCTGACTCAGCGGGGGACAGAAATAGACTGAGTGGGGAATGAGAAGAGGGGAGTGGAGATAAGGGGGGGGGGGGGGGGCAGTGAGAGAGGGTAGGTCTCACTTTGTCTCAGGTTAAGCACACATACAACAAACTCTTAGAAGAAGTTACATTTTGAACTTATCATAAAAAAGACTGTTATAGATCTAGTAAAATCATGATTCTCTTGGTCTGTGCCTGTGGCCACAGCTGAATGAGTCAGTGTGACTTTAAGGTCAAAATCCCCCTTGCTAAGTTAAATATAGGTTATGTGCTGAAACAGTACCCCCTGGTCCCCCTGCTGCTGTTAGCGACACTAAACAGGGCCACACATACACACACAGTTCTTGTAAGGTATCTACCCTCTAGGAGTACTGGCACTATGCAATAGTCATAAACCTTGGTGTAATAAGGCGTCAAACCACAGAACAAAAAAACAATTTACACAGGAGCTGTCAAGGGAGGCTGCAGAGAACACTTGAACAAAAGGTGCAGATATCCAGGAGTCATTCTTTTGCAATCTTTTTTTAAAGGCATATGAATCACAAGCACCTATAACGTACTAAATGACGTAAGAGCTCCTGATGACGGTGGATATACTGCTTTACCTTGAGGACACAAAATGACACCTGACTTCAAAATATTAGAAGGATCTATGGGATGCTATTTGTGCTTAAATGGTTAAACATAATACCTGTGGATGAAATCTCTGATCTTGGTTTTTAAATGCAAGGTGATCAAGTATAATATTGTGCGATGGGTTGGCCCAAATTACAGTAAAACATAAAAACAAGGATGCCACCAAAAATCACTTACTCAAATACTCTACAATCACCTCATCTGAACATGAACGACAGGGTGCAATTTAAGGACTTTTGCACTTCTATTAGCATAGCCAATAACTCAGGGGGCTTCACATAGAGCCAAGTGAAAACAATCATACATCTTCAGAGATTTAATGTTTTTAAATAAACATTTAAAAGTCAGTAATGTAAAAAAAGAGCAGAGGAAAAATATAAACCAAAAACAAAAGAAGAAAAACATGTCACACACAAAAAATGTCACGCTCACGTGTAAACCAATAACTTATGTATTAAGTAAACCAAAAATGAGTGAATGACATCTGTTGCCTTTTCTGTTATACATTTTTTGTCCAAATAACTCAGGCAGATACTGAACTAAAATGACACCAGCCTACATAAAATAATACAGCACAAAAACAGGAGCAACGATAAAGGAGTGGGATTATCCAAAGTCCAGGCCTCCAGTGATCGCCTCGGAGTAACTTCAATTATGACACTAACTTCAACATCTTCAACTTAACAAGCTCAGTTTTCAGAGGAGCTTAGAAACTTAAAGACGTCCATGACCAAAAAGGTGAGTGCCTTCAAAAAAAAAGTATATATGGTGTTTAAACCCACAATAGCTTCACTACAGACCTAGAAAAATAGAAAAAAATGCTTTTATGTTACAAGTTGGTCCAGATGGGCTGAAGACAATATACTGTGCATATACGTGGCATAAACTTATTATTGGCATCTTTACATCTGACTCTGTGCAGTATGGCTCTAGCAATGTATGTAACTAAAACGTAGATTAGAAGAGAGAAACTTGTTTGAGACCAGTCAAACATAAACGCTGCTGCTTCCATCTGAGACAGCTTGAGATATGAGCAGGTTGCAGGTGTTATTCTGTCTTTCATACTTTGTCAGTATACTTAACTTCTTCCTAGGAATGCTATGCGCATTGGGAAAGAGGGCTGTGTAAGAGAAATAACCATCTCTAATGACACTGACTGCTTCAGTGCAGCATCTCTCTGTCACCATTTCAAGTGACAGAATATCAGAGTCCTCTGGTGTCACTAAACATATACTGTATTTTTATTATCAGTTACAATAATTTGGAAAATTCTGCAAAGCATCTGAAACTGAGTGCAGTATTTTCAATATGTACTGCCACAGGACATACAGTTTGTGACCGATACCGAGGCAGCCAGAGCATTCAGAGTCTTTCTGGCTGTGAGGTACCGAGGCAGCCGGGTGCCTCTCTCAGCACATCCCAAAGGTGTCTCTTTGTTTCTGGGGACAGGCTTGTCTTGAGGTAGAAGCTCGTCTAATTAGAGGAATCCCTTATCTCCTGGATGACTCCTTGCTAATGATGGCTCTGACTGGGAGGATCGAGTTCAAGTCCTTCCTCTGTTGTAGTATCCGATATGACTGCACAGACACAGAGAGATGAGAAGCAGGAGGATTATGAATAACTCATGGCTGGCCAACAGCAACTTGGAGCACGAAAGAAAATATGAAGGGCGCACAGTTATCAGGATTGGCATGTACCTCCACAAACTGAGCTTTAATGGCATCAAACTTGACCTTCTCATGGACTGCCCTGGCAACGTTATTTCTTTCAAATGGCTCTGAAACACAAGGAATTGCTGTCGCTCACTGAATATGTAGCATTTCTGGGAACATTTCTAACATTAATGAACCAGTTATTGTTCAGTGGTGGTGGTGGCATGTAATTTACACTGAAATGTTTACCTTCAACACATATGTATTTGTTTCTCCACTCTTGAGAATTGTTCTTGGGCAAAGCTCTGGCCTCTCGAACAGAGATCACCTGCTTATCCCACCTGCAAGACACAGAAAAAACAAAAGGAAGGGGATTGTTTCGCACCTATTACACTGAAAAATAAGCAAAAAAATTAATTAAAAAAAAAAGGACTGTACCAGTGGCTTTTAGCCAATCAACTACAAAATATTGACACGTTACTGCCAACAAATATAGCTTTTCCAGATAGATTCTGTACCTTCCAGGCATCAGTTGGTTTTAGTTTAATTCAGTGCAGTATAAAAAGTATAATGTGAACATGAAACATTCTTATTTTGATCAAATATACAAGACGGTAATATGATAATGCGGGAAATTGTTTTGCAAACTCATTCTTACTGTTCAATTAAAATGCATCTGAGGCTTAAAAGTGGGCATAATAACCTTCAAACTACTGCCTTTTAAATCTAAAGTCTTAAAAGTTGGAGCTATATTGAATGCATCAAATTCAAGATAGATACATTTCAGTCTTTGCAAGTTCAACTTTATTGACATGAGTTGATTGAAGCAAATGCCAAGAACGTAGGACAAATGTCAGTAGTAATGTTAAGCCTGTAAAATTTGTACTTCAAGGGCAAGAAAATGTAAAATCACTCAACACGTGTGACCTGTTTACGGCGTTTGACACTGTAAAATGTAAAAAATCTGTTTGCTTGGTGAGTTTCAGTTCAACCTTACAAGTGTGGCGTGGAAAGGTAACACACTTACTGCAAACACAGGGATCATGGTATGTCATGTTAATGTTGTGTTAGGCCAAAAGGTCCCACCTGCTCCTGCCCTTCACCCAGAAACATGAAACCAGAGAAGATGTTGCAGGATAGAGGGAGGAGAGGAGAGACAGGGGACTGAAGAGTGAAGAAGTTGGCTAAAGGAGCAGGAGGTGAGGAATGGGAACAGGAAAATGAGCAGGCAAAAGAACCAAGAGTGCATCTGAAACACTAGACTCAGTAATGTGATGTCCTTGGGAGATACCTGAAGTCTGTGGCATAGTATTTGAGAAAGCCCAGAAGCAGCTCTCCAAGAGAGGACTGGTTTCTTGAGATGTAGGGCGGGACGTGTTTAGTTCCCTCTGGAACCATGTCAATTTCCATGGAGGGATTAAAACACTCCTGAAAATCAAGGCACATGACACAAAGACTTAAAACGGAGCACTTTTTTTCATTTTATAATAGATTATTTCAAGGTGGTGGATGAAGTCAAGTTAAAGTGATGCAGAAATGTATTTTTACAAAAGAGACAGAGGATATAATTGGAAAGATGAGTCCGCAAAGGCATATATTTATAACATATTAATTGACCTTCTATTCTATGCCTGGATGAGAGGGTAAAAAATAAAAGCTAAACTGATAGTGTAAACAAGACTCAGTTGCAAAAGAAATGGAGACACTTACTGGGTAGTCCCTCTGTAGGGAGGGAAGGACAGGATCACTAAGAGCTGTAAAGAAAACAACACGTATATGACGAGATTCAAAATAAGTCAAATGGGAATTAAAAAAGAGATTTTGTCTGTGTGTGAGATTGTACTGACTCTGGAGGGAGTGCAGCACCATCAGCACGAGTGTGTAGCTGCTTAACGTTCCTTTGCTGGCATCATTGATTTGATTATGCCGTGCCCATTTCTTAACAACAAGGATCATGGGTCTTATCCTGAGATCAGCTGTGAGAAACCACACAAACATAGCGGGTCAAAACAAGAAATTTCAAATAACATATGCATTGCTTGTGGCTGGACTAATAAACAAAGTCACTTTTAAGAGTTGACTTAACATTAGACAGAGACATTTTGAAAAATTGTTGCCATCAAAACCAAAGTATTGTCGACCATCTCACCCACCATAGGCATAACTCCTCAGAAGGAATGTGTTTCTGATGCCCACTGTGTTGTTGATATTCAAGTCAAACTCCAGATCACTAAAGAGGGTGGGAGTAGAGAAGTGGTCACATTAACACTTCTTTCGGACTTTGATGATGATGTAAAAACAGGTTTCCACGACTGTGTTGCTCCTACCTGCCTTTCTCTCTGAACCTGAGGATCGGCACTTTGGCTCTGATCAGCTGAGTCCTCTCTATATATGCTATGAATCAAAACAAACATCATAGGATTTGTGGTAATTTAAGGCCTTTCTCGTTTCTCAGTTTGTACATCCTCGACTCCACTTCTCGCATCCCTCCCACCCGAGATGTGAGCGGATGAGTCGAGGAGATGACACGAGGAAAGGAGTTGAGGCAACAGGCATCAAAAAGAGGCATCCTTGCCACTGAGCCATCAATGAAATGAGACGTGTGGCACAGGTAATTACAACATAATGTATCAAAGTCTATCAAATGTCTATTAAAGTGAAATGTCATTAAGGAATGCAGGTAAAACAGCGCCTTAAGAGGCACTACACAAACGGTGAAGGGCAGAAAGTTTGTTCGTGCATTTGACATCTTAAATAACTAAAACAACCTTCCAGCTGTGTGTAATGCCTCTTTTTATGTGTCACGGGTGCTGAAAAGACTTTCGCAAAGGATAAACCGGTGCACCTACGCTCATAGCTCCTCTCTCCTCTCAAAGCATTTTAGGAATTTAGATGTCCTTCGAGATGGAGTGCTGAAATAAATTTCACAGGCTGGAGGACGGAGGAGAGAAGAGACAAGGAGGCACAAAATAGAGGAATGATAAATACCTTTGGTTTCCTTTTCAGTGAACCTGAAACTATTTTTCCACTGGGTAAATAGCGCCACCCGGTGGAGTCAGTGGAGAAAACAAAATCTAGGGATCCCACTATTTTTTATTTTGTTTAGTAAAACATGTAAGTAAATAAGTAAATAAGAGCTTTCCAACCATGTTAAGAATACAATAAATTATTCTAAATAATTTGATATTCAAAAAAATAGTTTATTATTACTCACACAGTGATCTGAACAACCTTTGGAGGACTGAGAGTACATGAATGGGATCAGGTCTGTTCTGAAAAAGAAAACAGAAAAACATGCAGGTGTTTGAGAGAATGTGTGTGTTGTGTACACACACACACACACACACACACACACACTTTGGATGACATTCACCACGCAGACTCAGGGATACTCACATTTCCTTTGAGGACCAGACACAGATCAGCATCACTGCTCCGGCAGCCCAACCCATTCATAGAAGATCCCGTCAAGTAAAGTCGTGCCGCTGCAAGAAACGCATTTAGTGAATAAGGATCACAACAGAAAGTCAGTCAAAGCAGAGCTTTACTGTATATTTCAAACACACCTGCATAGACACGCTGTATGTCTTGCTGCAGCCGAGTTCGGCAAGTCTCCTTTCGGGCCAAATCAGAAGATTGCTGCTGGCACGCCTCAAACAGCTCAACCATCTGAACACTCAGCTGAGGGCACAAACAAATCTCCTGACTAAATCAACCATACCTGCATGCACACATAGTTGGATTTAATGTATTTCAGATGCAGGTTAAGGCCTTCTGAATATACAGTACCTTGTCCTTTGCGTAGGCCTGCAGGCTGTGGGAGCTATCTGGGATAGTAGGCACCTGGGGTTGGGGCTGGGCACGTGGGCTAGGATAAGAGCGATCAAAATCAGTGAAGGATGATCTTGATGGCCCTGCGACCACTTGGTCAAGACGACGAGGGGGAGGTGCCCGAATTAAAGGGGAGCCGATTACTGTGTGGGAAGAAGAGTCAAGGCGTTGGCGTTTCACAACATTGGGGGTGTATTCATCAATCTGCCTCCTGAAAGAAACACAATGATAAGGAAAAACATCACAAGATATGTTAAAGGCAAATGTTAATAAAAGGGAAGTGAGTTTAAAGATACTGAAGAACGAGATTATTTAGTTATGAATAAATGGTCAGATTACATACTTGCGCCTATTGGTCACAGTTGGTGTGCGATGAGGAGGGACTGGAGAGGTGGGTGGTGTGGGTTTCCATTCATATGAAGGCAACCTCTCTAATCCAGGAACATAGAAGCTACCAAACAGGCATGTGTGTGTATTACTATACAGGACATAAACGCGCCCAACAAGAAACCATATGAAAGTTCTACTATTGTACTGATGCTGTCTAGTACACAAGTGCAGTTGGTTTCTTGGGCAGGCTCACCTATTGACACCAGCCAGGGGTTGGTGGTTGTAATCGTAGTATAGAGGCACAGAGGGTGGTGGGTACAGGCCCTTACTGTAGGCTGACCGTCCCCTCGGTGCAGCGCCGTGGGGGAACATGCTGCGGTTCTTCAAAGAGCTCCAGCATCAAATACCTTAACAAAAACCAACAGAACGGTTAGTGTCAGTAATTAAAGACGAGCTGTGGCTGAACTCATAACTTAACCCAACAGTAACGTTAATGCCACGAAGAGTTACTGAGGAAACCGAAACTTACTAGTGATCGGGCAACAAAGCGAGCTCAGACCTCGACGTTTAAGCAGCGTCTAGCTAGCTAATTCATATATCAGTAACGATATTATCACACAATTAAATATGTTTCTCTGTAGATTCGTGTAAAGAATGTGTCTTCGGAAACGTGTCACTAAGTGTTGAAAACGTTTACTCAAAAACTGAACTATGTAACACTTACCAAATTGCATGTCACATGTAAACAAAACTGAAGGTGCTAGTTTCCTGAGTACATACTTCCGCATTGATGTCATGACGTAATGGAGCGTGATTTAAAGGGGACGTGGCCCTGCTAGTTAAAGGGGAAATCCACTCAAAAGCAAAACAAATAAAGATTTTGGCTACACAGTGTGCTGTATCAATAATAGTATTGAACAGTGAAATAAACACCCCCCTCCAGAAAAAGCCGATAGGCCTACATCAAGCTTTGAACTAGTGATATCTGTGATTATGTTAGTTTGACTAATACACAATCACAGATAGCCTATCTCCATTAAACTCGATGTCTATGAAGATTCTCAGTCATCCAGGTCATAGTTATCCAACGAAGGTTAAAGTCAAGGGCAACTGGACTTGGTTGAAGATACTGGAAGACGTTTCGTCCCTCATCCAAAGGACTTCTTCAGTTCTGACTGACTGGCAGGGAAACTCAGCTATTTAACCTCAGTGGGGTCATTTGCCAGGGTCATCGATACCGCTGGTTCGTTAGTGTTCCTGGTTGCTGTAACGACAGTCGTTACAGTCGCAGGTCAAGACTCTGCAGTCTACTTACATCTGAAGGACAGAGGACACTCGTTTGAGGACCTCCAGGTGCACATTTTAGACAGAGAAGATGGATGCTTTGAAAGAGGTGTCAAGGAAGCATCTACACCCAGGTCGAGTAGCCGTCATTGAACCGAGGAGGGGGTCTACGCCACCACTTATCCCCCACTTACAATGCTGTCCTTTCATCACTTCCCAGGAAACTCAAGAAATGTAACCTATTGGCCTCAGGTGAAGATACCAACGATGGTCGTTCAGTCTTGGCCACCATTAGTCCTAACGACTGTAACGACTGTCGTTACAGCAACCAGGAACACTAATGAACCAGCGGTATCGATGACCCTGGCAAATGACCCCACTGAGGTTAAATAGCTGAGTTTCCCTGCCAGTCAGTCAGAACTGAAGAAGTCCTTTGGATGAGGGACGAAATGTCTTCCAGTAATTTCAACCAAGTCCAGTTGCCCTTGACTTTAACCTTCGTTGGACTCCATTAAACTCATTTGGACATATCCAAATGAGGTTAATTATCAAATTATAAAACTCATTTGGACATATCCAAATGAGTTTAATTATAGAGCTTAGAGCTGCCAATCAGATAAGCCTGCTGACCATGTCTGCTGTCACGTTTGTCCAATATCCATTGTCGGTGGAGCAGAATCAAGATTCTCTAGAAGATCTCTAGAAGACATCTTCACTACCGGCAGTTTGTCTCATATGTTTTGCTGAAAGAATAGGCCTAAATTGTTCAAAATGTTGTAAATAGATTCTAGATAGATTTTAGGTTGGGTTTTCCCTTTAAAAGTCCACTATGGTAAATCAGTGATTAGATAAGGGTGACGAGAAAACAATATGACTGACAGTTACTGTTACAAGCACTAAATCAACAGACACAATTATGATTTTTCATCATTGTATTGATATTGTTCTGTTACTGTTACTATAGCTTTGTCAGTTCTATGGTGACTGTGACCCACCAGTCCATCATCATTTGATTAATTCATCATTGAGTAACTTCATTTAAGCTACTTGAACTGCTGGATCAAATATGAGTCTCCAGGTCCCCTGGTTTATACCATGGTTAGTCTGAATATGACTGTCTTAAGCCATGACGTATGAAAAACATTTTAATTGAGTGGTGCCCTCCTTAAAAAAATATTAAAAAACGAAAAACTCACAGAGACTGCAGTACAAGTAACTGATGGAGTATGAGCTGGGTTCTATAAGTGGGTTGTTTATTATTAAACTGCATGTGATACAACCATAGACTAATAGGCCTACTGCTTGTAGATCTGGAAAAACGCAGGGAGATAAATTATTATTACAACCCTGAAATATAATTTTCTTTGCGCATTTGGTGAGTTGAGGCCACTTACCAATAAACTTCTTATAAAACAACAAGGCATCAAATGGCATCAGTCCCTTGAGCACAGAGTGACGTCACTGCGGAGGACGGTGTCGTGACGTAGGCAGTTCAATACTGACAGTGATTTGAGTGGGAGGGAAGCGGATGCATCAGCCAGATGTGGAGCAGTTTGGGGGGCTGGGTGCACTGCACATAGGAGAATGTGGATGGGCTTAGGTCAATAAATCACACATATAGCTACAGCATAGAAACTGCAGGATATTTTAATCCATGCAAACGAACCACTGATAAGGAGAGCAGGAATTTGTCACGTGAATCAGTAAAAAAAAGACATAAATTGATGTTGCAGAAGCAGAAGAGATGATGTAGGGTTAGTCCTAGAGCCATATCAGAAATCGGCTTTATCATAGACATGCACTGGTACTAGTGAATGTGTGGAAGAGGCTGTGAAATAGATGTAGCATGGGCGAGAGAGTGGGGGTGTTGCCTATGAGCCTGTAATGAGAGAGAGAGAGAGAGAGAGAGAGAGAAAGAGAGAGAGTCGCGGGTGGACACTGTGATGCTGTGCTTTATCTACTGGCTAAATGAGGGTTGTCTTTCCCAGTTCAGGCAACAGGACTTCTCCACCCTTCCAGCGAGGATCTGTAATTTACGCGACAACAGCAGGGCGCCTGTCGGATCTCCATTGGACTCGCGCTGGATCTCCCACAGCGCTGCTGCTGCCGCTGTTGCTCCATCACCAAACCCTCAGCGTCAAAGGAGGAGAACAACATCTGCTTTCCGTGCCATGTGCAGAGCGACATGTATGTGTGATTTCATGCGGTGAAAGCGGCGGGGAATGGAGCAGTTGTCATCAAATTCCTGCAGACGTACCGACGGTGATACATTGAGGGCTGTCGTATAGAGAGAAGACCTTCATACGCAGCAGCCAATCCAAGATATTCGTTTTTTATTGCCAGCGAAAAGGATCAGTTGTCGCCTTTCATGTCATCTATAACAATGGGGTAAGTCCCCTTTCCCTCCTTTCTGTATTCATATCAGCTGCGGCTGCCTCACAGTGTATGAACTTCCCTGCCATGGAAACCAAACCACAGCATAACACAATAATGACCACAATAATGTAGCCAATGTTAAAAAATGTATCTATCTGTATTACATGGCGTCTAATAAACCTGATGATGGAGGGTTCAGGTAGGCTGTGTGACATGTGCAGTTGAGTGGTGATCTTCTGATGGCCTTGGTGTGCAACACACTAAAACAACAAGTTCTGAGACATATAGGACTAATGAAACAACTTATTCGGCTTTCTCCTCTGACAGTCCTCCTCTGAATATTCTCTGTTAAAATAGATTTACACCTTAGGCCCACCATGTTGCCTCATCATCAAACTTTTAGGATCAAAATAGTAGGTTAATCTGCAGTGATTCCCAAAGTGGGACTACCAGTGGGGTTTCGGTGTTCTCTCCAAAATCAGGCAATGATTAAATTCCCTGTTATTGCACTAGAACAATGAAAGAGTGAATAATATAATATAATATCTGTCACACTGTTTACTCCCCACCTACATTACAGACAGTTATGTAATTCTAAAAGAAGACATGTGTAACATCAGGATTTTTTCACAGAGATCTGTGTTCTGATGTACTGTACATCTTGTTCCGGGTCCTGCTACAAGGTTTGGGAACAGTAGCCTACAATGTCAGAAGCAGGGGGATGTCAGTAGCTACAATGCTGCACATAGCTCTTGTGACAGAAAGTGGTTCCTGTCTCTATGGCAGCACAGTGAGCGCTACCTTACACATTCTCAACAACAGGCACCCATCAGTGAAATATCCGCCTAGTGTGCAGCACTGCTCATTTGCATGTCCCCCTAACCCTGAGCTCAGCGCCCCATTTCCCCCACCAAGCCCGCTGTCCATTAACAGCTGTCTCCCGCAGTTCATTGTGATTAATTGCACAGCAGGAGGTTAACAATATGGCACAGGCATGGTGCGATATCAAGGCATCAGCCAAAACGCCTGCATTAACTATTTACAATACTCTGGAGGCTTCCCAGGCGCCCTCTCTGCCCTCCTACAGTGTGGGCAGCACATCATTCGGCAGTCTCCCACTCAGCTTCAACTCTCCATTGGGCTCTGCCACACTGGTGACTAAGTTACTGTTATGCAACTGACTCAATGAATCAATTGATCCACTATGGAATAAATTGTAAACTGTGATTCAAAGCACTATGCTACATAAAGTGTGTGTATTAAAGTGAATATATGCGGGTGCAGATGAGATGAAGCGTACCTAGGTGCAGATATGTTGCCTGACTGCCTGTTTAGCACAGACAGATAGAGTCATATTTCACTTCTGGCCTCGTGGCTGAATACCAAGCCACTTACAGCTCTAATGGTAATGGCACAGAGAAGAACATTAGTGTTGGATGAGAACTGGAGATGCATATCAACACTCTCTGGTGCATTCTCACTTTCTTGGGCAAATACAATCACTGCACAGATGGTCTTTTTCCCTGTCTTTGTCTTTGCTTGCTTGTGTGGGTGTGAGAGAGTGTGTGTTTACAGGCACATCCCAGGTCATCTAAGCCGCTTTCAGTAGATAGAGCAACAGGGAGCTTTCCCATTAATGACCTCTCTCTTCTTTAAATAAGATATAATTGCCTTCAAGCTCTAGTCTGTTAAATTAACGAAAAACTCTGGAAACAAGGACAACGTCTAGAGAGAGGCGGGGGTGGAGGTGGAGGTGGCAAGGGAAAGTGAGATCTCCTGAGATGGACTGTTTCATTATACTTCTCTTTCACTGTGACGCTGTGTGTGTTTGCAGGAAGACGGGCAGCTGTGTGTGTGTGTTTGTTGTGTGTGTGTGTGTGTGTGTGTGTGTGTGTGTGTGTGTGTGTGTGTGTGTGTGTGTGTGTGTGTAAACTGGTTACACACTGTGACTCAAATGGTGTTCATATCTGTGCCCCAAACCCTTTAAGCACAAGA